AGAAAGCAGTGGACAGGGCCAGTGGTGTATTTTGGTTTTGTGCTTCCCTAGGCAAGACTAAAATCACACACCCCCATCTAAATTTGCCCCACCCCTTCCTGTTTAGGATCTGCCTCTTCATCTCTAAACTCCACCCCTTCTGCTTTAGGCTCAGCCTCTTCCTATTAGAGCTCCACCTCCAGGAGTTTGTCAGAAACTGCAGACAAGATACAGGAGATGGTTAGAGATTGGACAGGATACAGGAGACGGTCAGAGACTGTGGACAGGATACAGGAGATGATCAGAGTCTGCTGACATACTATAGGAGATGGTCAGAGACTGTGGACAGGATACAGGAGACGGTCAGAGATTGTGGACAGCATACAGGAGAAGGTCAGAGATTGAGGACAGGATACAGGAGATGATCAGAGTCTGCTGACATACTATAGGAGATGGTCAGGGACTGTGGACAGGATACAGGAGACGGTCAGAGACGGCGGAAAGGATACAGGAGACGGTCAGAGACTGAGGACAAGATACAGGAGACGGTTAGAGACTGCAGACAGGGTACAGGAGATAATCAGGGTCTGCTGACATACTAAAGGAGATGGTCAGAGACTGTGGACAGGATTCAGGAGACGGTCAGAAACTGAGGACAAGATACAGGAGACGGTTAGAGACTGCAGACAGGGTACAGGAGATGATCAGGGTCTGCTGACATACTAAAGGAGATGGTCAGAGACTGTGGACAGGATACAGCGGATGTCAGAGACTGTAGACATGATACAGGAGATTATCAGAGTCTGCTGATATACTCCAGGAGATGGTCAGAGACTGTGGACAGGATATAAGAGAGACCAGAGACTACGCACATAGTACAGGAGGCAGTCAGAGACTGAGGACATAGTACAGGGGATGATCGGATACTGCAGACAGGATACAGGAGACAGTCAGAGACTGCGGACAGGATACAGGAGACTGTCAGAGACTGCAGACAGGATACAGGAGACTGTCAGAGACTGCGGACAGGATACAGTAGACAGAGACTGCGGACAGGATACAGGAGACAGTCAGGGACAGCAGACAGGATACAGGAGACAGTCAGAGACTGAGGACAGGATACAGGAGATGGTCAGAGACTGTGAACCAGCTGGAGAGGCCTGGTCTATACCAAGCACTATAGATATCTGGTTTGCCTGCACGCATTAGATGAGTGCTGCACAACCTGTTAGACCCTGAAACCACTCAAAGAGTCTAGTCTACATCAGCTTTTACCAATATAGGTAAACATCCAGCACCTCAGAGAAGACTCACATACTGCACCTCCTAGTAAAACGAGTAGAACCTCGAGATCTTTATAGACGTTGTGCCCTTTATTGGTCATGGCCAGGCCTGGACTGGGACAAAAAATAGGCTTTGGTACTTTGGACTGAGTAGCCCAAAGCCCAGGGACCCTTTCCTCTGAGCCTGGTGGCGGAACGCAAGGGTCTGGTCGCAAGAGCGGCCTTTGCAAGCCTGGTAGTTTCACCACTAGTGTCAGTAGGTTTTTATTTTTACTTTTTACATTTTTTGTAGGAGGGAAGGAAGAGAGAGAAAGGGGAGAGAAGAGGAGGAGGGGGGGGGGGCCAGAGAGAGGGGGGGACAAAGAGAGAGGGGGGAATAAAGAGAGAGAGGGGGGAAAGAGAGGGGGGAGAAAGGGAGAGAGAGGGGAGAAATAGAGAGAGGGGGAGAAAAAAAAGAGAGAGGGGGGGGGGGAAAAGAGGGAAAGAGGAGAGAGAGAGAGAGAAAGAGAGAGGGGGGAGAGAAGGAGAGGGAGAGAGAGAGGGGAAGAAAGAAGGGTGAGGGGAGAGAGAAGGGGGAGAGCGAGAGAAGAGGGAAAAAGAGAGAAAAATGGAAGAGAGAGGGAAGACAGAAAAGATGGAAGAGAGGGAGAGAAAAGAGGGAAGAGAGAGAGAAAAGAGAGAAGAGGGAGAGAGAGAGAAGAGGAGAGAGAGAGGGGGGGGGGGTAGAGAGGAGCGAGTGTGGGGTAGAGAGAGAGAGAGTGAAGAGGGAAGAGAGAGAGAGAGAAGGGGGGGGAAGGGGGGGGGGGGGGTGGGAGAGAGAAGAGGGGAGAGAAAGAGAGGAGAGAAGAAGAGGAGAGAAGAAGAAGAGGAGGGAGAGAAGAGGGGAGAGAAGAGAGGAGGGAAGAAGAGGGGAGAGAAGAGAGGAGGGGAAGAGAAGGGAGGAGAGGAGGGGGGAGGGAGGAGAGAAAGAGAGGGGAGAAGAAGAGAGGAGAGAGAAAGAGAGAGAGGAGAAGAGGGGAGAGAGAGAGAGGGGGGAGAAAAAGAAGAGGAGGAGAGGGGGGGAGAAGGAGGGGAGGGGGGAAGAGGGGAGAGAAGAGAGGAGGGGAGAAGAGAGGAGGGAGGGGAGAGAGGAGAGGGGAGAGAGGAGAGAGAGGAGGGGGGGAGGAAAGAGAGAAGAGAGGAGAGGAGGGGGGAGAAGAGAGAGAGAGAGAGAGGGAGGGGGAGAGGGGAGAGGAGAGGAAGGGGGAGGGGAGAGAGGAGAGGGGAGAGAGAGAGAGGGGGGAGAGGACAGGGGGAGAGGAGGAGAGAGGAGAGGGGGGGGAAAGAGTGAGAGAGGGGAGGAGGGGGGGATGAGTGAGAGAGGGGAGAGGAAGTGAGAGAGGGGAGAGGAGAGAGAGAGAGGGGGGAGAAAGAGATAAGAGAGAGGGGGGAGAAAGAGAAAGAGAAGAGAGGGGGGGAGAAAGAGAGGAGAGAAAGAGAGGAGAAAGAGAGGAGAGGGGGGGAAGAGGGGAGAAGGGGGAGAAAAAGAGGAGAGAGTGAGAGAGAGAGAGAGAGGGGGGGAAGAGGGGGGGGGAGAGAGAGGGGGGGAGAAAGAGAGGAGAGAGGGGGGTAGGGGCAGAAAGAGAGGAGAGGGGGCAGAAAGAGGGGAGAAAGAAAGGGGAGAGTGGAGAGAGAGGGGGGAAGAGAGGAGCGAGGGGGGGGGGGAAGAAAGACAGAGGGGGGAGAAAGAGAGGGGGGAGGGGGGGGAAAGAGAGGGAGAGAGGGGGGGAGAGAAGAGAAGAGGGGGGGAGAGAGAGAGGGGAGAGAGAGGGGGGAGAGAGAGAGAGGTGGGGAGAAGAGGAAAAAGGGGAGAGAAGAGAGGAGAGGAGAGAGATGAGAGGAGGGGTGTCAGGGCTCCCGGGTATGACCAGAGGTGTGTGACTGACGCAGGGAAACGCAGACTTCAGATATGTTTATAACAATGTAATTTATTAACACTAACCATACAAACATAAACGCAGTGCAATACTAAAACATAACACAGTGCCAACAAACCAACCAACCACCCACAGATAACAGTACATACAATGCAAGCGTCGTCAGGCAGGCCGGGTCAATATCAGTCGGGCAGGTAGGTACAGGGGGAGCAAGCGGAGAATGGTTGGGGTCACAGGCCAGGTTCAGCAGGTAGCGGGCAGCGTGGTACAGAGGGTCAGGCAGAGGAGAATGGTCAGACAAGCCAGGGATCAGAGCAGGGTCAGCAGAGAATCAGACAGGAACAGAGAGCAGGAACAGGATACAGGGCCCAAGAGAAACACAACACCAAGGCAGAGTCTGCAGGTCTGAATGTCCCTTAAATACACCAGTATAATTAGTTCCAGGTGTTTGACTGGCTGCAAGGTTGAGTCTCTGATTGCTGGGAGCACCCCGCTGGCCAGCCCTGGTACTGCAGCTCATAAGGCAGCTGAGTCCCACTATTGCTGGCCAGTCCATTCCTGACAGTACCCCCCCCTCAAGGAGCGGCCTCAGGACGCTCCAAACAGTCCTAGCTGGGCAAAATGTTCCACCGCCCGGGTCCGGTAACTGGCGGGATATCAAAGACTGGCACACCGGGCAGGACTCTGGGCAGCGGCACACCGGGCAGAGGCACATCGGGCAGGACTCCGGGGCAGAGGCACATCGGGCTGGACTCCGGGCAGAGGCACTCCGGGCAGCGGCACACCGGGCAGAGGCACATCGGGCTGGACTCCGGGCAGAGGCACATCGGGCTGGACTCCGGGCAGAGGCACATCGGGCTGGACTCCGGGGCAGAGGCACATCGGGCTGGACTCCGGGCAGAGGCACATCGGGCTGGACTCCGGGCAGAGGCACATCGGGCAGAGGCACACCGGGCAGAGGCACACCGCCTGGACTCCGGGCAGAGGCACATCGGGCAGGACTCCGGGCAGAGGCACATCGGGCAGGACTCCGGGCAGAGGCACATCGGATTACCAGGCGATGCAGCAGGCAGCGGGCCACCAGGCGGAGCAGCAGGCACCGGGCCCCCGGGCGGAGCAGCAGGCCCCGGGCCCCCGGGCGGGGGCAACAGGCATCGGGCCCCCGGGCGGGGTGCGACCGGCATCGGGTCCCCAGGCGGGGCGACCGGCATCGGGCCCCCAGGCGGAGCGGCGGGCCCCCAGGAGGGGCGACAGGCATCGGGCCCCCAGGCGGGGCAACAGGCGTCGGGCCCCCAGGCGGGGGCGACAGGCGTCGGGCCCCCAGGCGGGGCGACAGGCATCGGGCCCTCAGGCGGAGCGGCGGGCATCGGGCCCCCAGGCGGGGCAACAGGCATCGGGCCCCCAGGCGGGGCAACAGGCATCGGGCCCCCAGGCGGGGCAACAGGCATCGGGCCCCAGGCGGAGCGGCGGGCGCCGGACCCCCAGGCGGAGCGGCAGGTCTCGGGCCCTCAGGCGGAGCGGCGGGGCGCGCCGAACCCCCAGGCGGAGCGACAGGTCTCGGGCCCTCAGGCGGAGCGGCGGGGCGCGAACCCCCAGATGGAGCGACAGGTCTCGGGCCCTCAGGCGGAGCGGCGGGCACCGGACCCCCAGGCGGAGCGGCAGGTCTCGGGCCCTCAGGCGGAGCGGCGGGCGCCGAACCCTTAGGCGGAGCGACAGGTCTCGGGCCCTCAGGCGGAGCGGCGGGCGCCGAACCCCCAGATGGAGCGACAGGTCTCGGGCCCTCAGGCGGAGCGGCGGGCACCGGACCCCCAGGCGGAGCGGCAGGTCTCGGGCCCTCAGGCGGAGCGGCGGGCGCCGAACCCCCAGGCGGAGCGACAGGTTCGGGCCCTCAGGCGGGAGCGGCGGGCGCGAACCCCCAGATGGAGCGACAGGTCTCGGGCCCTCAGGCGGAGCGGCGGGCACCGGACCCCCAGGCGGAGCGACAGGTCTCGGGCCCTCAGGCGGAGCGGCGGGCGCCGGACCCCCAGATGGAGCGACAGGTCTCGGGCCCTCAGGCGGAGCGGCGGGCACCGGACCCCCAGGTGGAGCGACAGGTCTCGGGCCCCCAGGCGGAGCGACAGGTCTCGGGCCCCCAGGCGGAGCGACAGGTCTCGGGCCCTCAGGCGGAGCGGGCGGGCGCCGGACCCCCAGGCAGGGCGACAGGTCTCGGGCCCTCAGGCGGAGCGGCGGGCGCCGGACCCCCAGATGGAGCGACAGGTCTCGGGCCCTCAGGCGGAGCGGCGGGCGCCGGAACCCCAGGCGGAGCTACAGGTCTCGGGCCCTCAGGCGGAGCGGCGGGCGCCGGACCCCCAGGCGGAGCGACAGGTCTCGGGCCCCCAGGCGAAGCGGCGGGCACCGAGTCACCAGGCACGACAGTGGGCTCCGAGTCAACTGGCATGACCGCTGGCACTGGGTCAGACATTGGATCGTCTGGCTGGACAGCGGGCATCGGGTCACCAGGCATCAGGTCATTTGGCTCGACAGCGGGCACCGCGTCATCTGGCAAGGCAGTGGGCTCCGAGTCAACTGGTATGACCGCGGGCACTGGGTCAGACATTGGATCGTCTGACTGGACAGCGGGCATCGGGTCACCAGGCATCAAGTCATTTGGCTCGACAGTGAGCACCGCGTCATCTGGCAAGGCAGTGGGCTCCGAGTCAACTGGGATGACCGCGGGCACTGGGGCAGACATTGAATCGTCTGGCTGGACAGCGGGCATCGGGTCACCAGGCATCAGGTCATTTGGCTCGACAGCGGGCACCACGTCATCTGGCAAGGCAGTGGGCTCCGAGTCAACAGGCACGACAGTGGGCACCGGGTCATCAGGTACCGGACGGATTGTCTGGCTCGACAGCGGGCATCGGGTCACCAGGTATGACAGCGGGCACTGGGTCACCAGGCATCAGGTCATTTGGCTTGCCAGCGGGCACCACGTCATCATGGCAAGGCAGTGGGCACGGGTCAGCAGGCATTGGATCGTCTGGCTCGACAGCGGGCATCGGGTCACCAGGTATGACAGCGGGCACTGGGTCACCAGGCATCAGGTCATTTGGCTTGCCAGCGGGCACCGCGTCATCTGGCAAGGCAGTGGGCACCGGGTCACCAGGCATTGGATCGTCTGGCTCGACAGCGGGCATCGGGTCACCAGGTATGACAGCGGGCACTGGGTCACCAGGCATCAGGTCATTTGGCTCGCCAGCGGACACTGCCTCATCTGGCAAGGCAGTGGGCACCGAGTCACCAGGTACGACAGCGGGCTCTGAGTCAATTGGCACGACAGCGGGCACCGGATCAGGTACCGGATCATCTGGATCAACAGCGGGCATCGAGTCAACTGGCCTAATAGGATCGTCAGGCTGGATCAGTTCATCACGCTGGATAGAGGCATCAGGCTGAATGCCGGCGTCCGGCTGAGTAGAGGCTTCAGGCTGAGTAGGGGCTTCAGGCCGAAAAGAGGCTTCAGGCCGAGTAGAGGCTTCAGGCCGAATAGAGGCATTAGGCCGAGTAGAGGCATCAGGCCGAGTAGAGGCATCAGGCCGAATAGAGGCTTCAGGCTGAAGAGAGGCATCAGGCTGCGTACAGGCATCAGGCCGAGTAGAGGCATCAGGCTGAAGAGAGGCATCAGGCTGCGTACAGGCATCAGGCTGAGTACAGGCATCAGGCTGAGTACAGGCATCAGGCTGAGTAGAGGATTCAGGCTGAGTAGAGGCTTCAGGCTGAACCACGGAAGGCAGGTTCACCGGTTTGGATACTGGCAGGATGGTATTGGTTGGAAAGAATTTTCGCTTTTTTCTGGTTTTAACTACTGGAGCACTGCAAGTAAACGCAGGTCTGGAAACGAATGGAGCAGCTGGAGACAGAGAAGAACTGGAGGATGGAACAGAAGAGGGAGCAGTTGCTACAGAGGGCTTTTTTACAGGGTTAAAGGCAGGATAGGTGCAGCGAGTGGGAACAGGGTACTGACATGCGGTAGATAGCAGGGCAGGAGGAGCTGTTGGGAATGCAGGAATAGAGTTTTGAGGAAATAGATTAGAAGCAGGACTGGGTTTTTGTAAGCTGACTGAGGCTGGGTGCAACAAGTCTGACCATGTCTGCAGTATGGGTTGAACAAAGCTGAGCTTACACAAAGCCTGTCTGACCAAGACTGCACTGCGTTTATACAATCTCTTAGTGTCTGTGGTGAACATGTGGAATAACGCTCCAGAAAGTAACCCACATCATCCTCTAATAACCACACCAGGGACTCTACCTGGTCTGCACTAAATGGTGGCAAAAATTCATCCCTGCATTCGGGGGTACCAGATGAAACCAACTCAGCACAAACCTCAATCAAAGGCTGCACCTCCGAGAACTCTGTGCCCTGATCTACTAGAACATGAGCGAGCCGTATACATTCTAGCAGTTCATCCCGGGTATACTCCTTCAGAGTTTGATAAGCATACTCCCTGTCATCAAACACTAGCAGATATAAATACGCAACCTCATCCAGATCCATCCTTCCCATCAACAAACCAAGATGGCTTCCCTGTGCAGCCACTTCTGGTCAGGATTGGCCTTGGTGTAATGTCAGGGCTCCCGGGTATGACCAGAGGTGTGTGACTGACGCAGGGAAACGCAGACTTCAGATATGTTATAAACAATGTAATTTATTTAACACTAACCATACAAACATAAACGCAGTGCAATACTAAAACATAACACAGTGCAAACAAACCAACCAACCAGCCACAGATAACAGTACATACAATGCAAGCGTCGTCAGGCAGGCCGGGTCAATATCAGTCGGGCAGGTAGGTACAGGGGGAGCAAGCGGAGAATGGTCGGGGTCACAGGCCAGGTTCAGCAGGTAGCGGGCAGCGTGGTACAGAGGGTCAGGCAGAGGAGAATGGTCAGACAAGCCAGGGATCAGAGCAGGGTCAGCAGAGAATCAGACAGGAACAGAGAGCAGGAACAGGATACAGGGCCCAAGAGAAACACAACACCAAGGCAGAGTCTGCAGGTCTGAATGTCCCTTAAATACACCAGTATAATTAGTTCCAGGTGTTTGACTGGCTGCAAGGTTGAGTCTCTGATTGCTGGGAGCACCCGCTGGCCAGCCCTGGTACTGCAGCTCATAAGGCAGCTGAGTCCCACTATTGCTGGCCAGTCCATTCCTGACAAGGGGAGAGAAGAAAGGAGAAGAGGGGGGAGAGGAGAGAGAGAGGGGGGAGAGGAGAGAGAGAGGGGGGAGAGGAGAGAGAGAGAGGGGAGAGGAGAGAGAGAGAGAGGGAGAGAGGAGAGAGAGAGGGGAGAGGAGAGAGAGAGGGGAGAGGAGAGAGAGAGGGGAGATGGGGGAGAAAAGAGAGGAGAGGAGAGGAGAGGAGAGGAGAGAGGAGAGAGAGGGGGGGGGAGGGGGGACGGAATGAGAGAGAGAGGGGGGAGGAGAGAGGGGGGAGAGGAGAGAGAGAGAGGGGGGAGAGAGGAGAGATAGGGGAGAGGAGAGAGGAGAGAGAGGGGGGGGAAAGAGAGGAGGGGGGGGAGGGAGAGAGGGGGAGAAAGAGAGGAGAAAGAGAGGAGATAGGGGGGGAGGGTAGAGTGGGGGGAAGAGAGGAGAGAGAGAGAGGGGGAGAACGAGAGGAGAAAGAAAGGAGGAGAGAGAGAGGGGGGGAAGAGAGGAGGAGAGGGGGGCAAAAGAGGAGGGGGGAAAGGGGGGGGGAGGGGGTGAGAGCTTGTGGGGGAGAAAGAGAGAGAGGGGGGTCGAGAGAGAAGAGGGGGGAGGAGAGAGAGAAGGGGGAGAGAAGAGGAGGGAGAGAGAAGAGGGAAGAGAAAAGAGGGAGAGAAGAGAGAGAGAGAGAGGGAGAGAGGAGAGAGGAGAGGAGATAGAGCGAGAGAAAGAGAGAGAGGAGAGGGGGGTGAGCGAGGGGGAGGGGGAGGGAGAGAGAGAGGGGGGAGAGAGAAGGGGGAGAGAAAAAAGGGAGAGAAGAGAGAGAGGGGGGGTGGAGAGAGGGAGAAGGAAGAGAGAGAGAAGAGGAGGGACAGAGAGAGTGAAGAGGTTAGAGAGAGAAAGAGGGAAGAGAGAGAGAGAGAGAAGAGGGAAGAGAGGGGGGGGGGGGTGAAGACACAAGGTGGCTGGAAGTGTGGGGGCGGGGCACACACAGGAGGAGAGGGCGGGAGGAGGAGAGGTAACTTTCTCTCTGCTCTCCCATCTGTGTGTGTGTGTGTGTGTGTGTGTATGTGGGGGGGGGGGGGGGCGACTGTCAGCACTGGGGACTGCATATGCTGACAGATCCCCTGCAATGCTGGAGAGGGGGCAGTGGGGGAGCATACAGGAGCTGACCTCATGCAGGAGATGGATAGGGGAGGCGCATAGAGCAACCGAGAAATGCATGGTCCTCTATGTGCCACCCGTCTCCGACTCTACTATATTGCCAAAAGTATTGGGCCAGCCCTCTGAATCATTGGATTCAGGTGTTCCAATCACCTCCATGGCCACAGGTGTATAAACTCAAGCACCTAGGCATGCAGACTGCTTCTACAAACATTTGTGAAAGAATGGGTCGCTCTCAGGAGCTCAGTGACTCCAAGCGTGGTCCCATGATAGGTGGCCACCTGTGCAATAAGTCCATCCGTGACATTTCCCGGCTACTAAATATTCCACGCTCAACTGTTAGTGGGATTATAACAAAGTGGAAGCAACTGGGAACAACAGCAACTCAGCCAGCAAGTGGTAGGCCACGTAAAATGACAGAGCGGGGTCGGAGCATGCTGAAGCACACAGTGCACAGAAGTCGCCAACTGTCTGCAGAGTCAATAACTAAAGACCTCCAGACTTGGTGTGGCCTTCAGATTAGCACAACAAAACATTGCGTAGAGAGCTTCATGGAATGAGTTTCCATGGCCGAGCAGCTGCATCCAAGCCTTACATCACCAAGTGCAAGGCAAAGCGTCAGATGGAGTGGTGTAAAGCATGCCACCACTGGACTCGAGAGCAGTGAAGACGTGTTCGCGCGCGCACTGGAGGGCTTCGTTTTGAGGTAAGTTTCACATATTGTGCATACTAGCACAATATATTATTACCTTTCAGAAGGAAACTTTTTTTTTTTTCAAACAAGTTTACTACCGCTTTAAGGCATCAAAATACCAAGACATTTTGGACAATTTCATGCTCCCAACTTTGTGGGAAGAGTTTGGGATGGCCCCTTCCTGTTCCAACATGACTGCGCACCAGTGCACAAATCAAGGTCCATAAAGACATGGATGAGGGAGTTTGGGGTGAAGGAACTTGACTGGCCTGTACAGAGTCCTGACCTCAACCCCATAGAACACCTTTGGGATGAATTAGAGTGGAGACTGTGAGCCAGGCCTCCTCCCCCGACATCAGTGCCTGACCTCACAAATGTGCTTCTGGAAGAATGGTCAAACCTTCCCATAGACACCCTCCTAAACCTTGTGGACGGCCTTCCCAGAAGAGTTGAAGCTTTTATAGCTGCAAAGGGGGGGCCA